TCTATCCAATAATTACTGTTCACCTGCTGCCAGACTCCCCACTCAGCAGCGTGTCCTCTTCTTGTCTCATGGGATCAGTAACTAGGATGTTTCCCTGGAAACTGGACAGCTCTATCATATATAATTGGGTAATCCCTGAGCTGCTGACAGAAAAATAATAGCGTTTGGGATTTTCAAAAAGACCCAAGCCAACACTGAACGTAATATGTCTTTTTCATAATCTAGATCCAGCGATTACAGGATAGATCTGGATTATTAGTAACTGTAATGATAAAGGGATTTTAGTGACAATATTTAGATATCAATAAGCAGATTGTGGGGGGTTAAAAGACTTCTAACTATAAGACTGCTATTTATTCAGTGAAAGGAGTTAAAGTCCCTGATCGATCTATTGTGCTTCTCTCCACCTTGAACTGGCTTGTTTGCACAAGCCTTCCCACGCTCTGCCACTAACATTAGTCTCAGATATATAGCCTCTCTGACCCACTAGGGGGCCCAGGTTAAAAATATTCTCTGGTCTGCAAAACACTAACACAAGGATTTTCTGAAAATGATAGCTCCCTCAAAGTAAAGTTGAGAGTTATTTTTGTAAATACAGCTGCTGCTGTGTGAGTTAAAGTGCGGGGTTCTTGTTGTTTACTGCACATCCCATATTTCCAGTCTTAATAGGAAACTGACCACCAGTCTGCTGAGTGGTGTTAGTTGAACAGAGGGCTAACAGGGAGACAGAGGCAGCCATTCAGGTCACATCCTTTTGAGAGTCATAAAAGTCCAGAACAATTTTTGTCCTAATGACTGTTATTCATTGCTCTGTGAACTGCAGCTACAGCTCTGGGCTCTGCATATCTTATATTGTGATAGGATGCTTGAATAAATGAATAGTGTGAATAGTGATGATCTTTATAATGATATATTTAGCTTATTGTGCAAGGTCACCTTGTCTCCGTACCCAGGAAACTCCTTCTTTGGAGTTGGAGCACTCTACAGAGCGAACAATACACCTGATGTAAACACTCCATCCCACACAAGACCACTACCGGGGCAGGGGTAAAAAATTGCACTTTGTTCAGCAAAGTAATTTAATGGCCAGATAAAATATAGTTGATTCATCCCAAAACTAGGGAAATGCCAGTGGTACAGCAGCCAAGGAATTAAAAAGAATGTGTAAAAATGACTTCAGTAAAGGAGAATAGCTCAGTTAAGCAGAAAAATGGAATTTAAATAAATAAAGGGGCCTAAAAAATAAATAAATAAATAAATAAATAAATAAATAAGCAGAAATGAAAAAGCAATGTGTAAAAATCTGATGATACAATAAGAATACCTGTTATAAAGATGAATAAGAATAAACCTTTAAAAAATATATGTATATTTAGCTAGCTATCTCACTAGATGATAGCATAGTGATGATACTAATGTCAGAGCAGGGGTGTGTTCTCCAGGGGGGCATCGGATGGCACCAGCTCCAACTGATGCCCCCCTACAAATGATTTGTGCCCCCTAAAATGAGGGCATTAGATAACATTACTGTTAATTTTATAATCCCCCAAATCAGTAGATATATAATTCTAAAGGTGCCATTCCACATAATGAGTACACTTACTTTAGTTACTTTAAAGCTTTAAGTAACTAGCTTAAAGCTTTAAAATTTAAACAATGAACCTGTGAACTATTAAGCTACTTGATTAGGATTTTAACGTTTAGTTTGCTTTTACTTAAATGAAAAGTCTAAATACTTTTTTCCACTTTGAAACAATTTTATCCAGTGCAAGATTATGTTTAAGTTAATAAATTGGATACAAGCATTCGTGAGAGCCTAAAAATCATGTTTTCTACACCAGTTTTCTACAATGCTTTTACTTCTGATGAAATATTCTGACTTATTAGTACCTCTGTGCCACGGTTCTTAAACAATCTTGGAAACACGCCTGTGTCACAGCGGTCATTTCCGTCTCATATGCAGTCTTTGGTTAAAACACACTGGAAAGCTTGAAGAACATTTCCTACAGATCCTTCCAAAAGGCTTAAAAAGAAAAGAAAAGAAACCAGGTAGATTTTCCTGTCATAAGTAGGAGTAAGCTGTTCTGCTATTACAGTAAACATGTTAACAGCCCGGTACAGAAATTGTTTTGGTTTTTCAAGCTAAGGTATCTCTTTTAACAAGACCTGTGTGGCTGGGGCAGAGCTAGAGAAATTTTCTTAGGGTGGCATGAGGGTGGCATGGAAATCAGAGGGGGTGGCAAAAGCAAAGCCATTTCTTTAGACACATACAGTAGTTACATTCTGTAATATGCATTATATATAAATGGTGAAAATACATCAAATGCAATAAGTATACACGTTTCATATAAACAATAACAATAACAAAGTCTATAACTTTCTTATTGGCTTTATCCCAAATCATTAAACATTTCAGTTCGATCTTATGTACTGTACAGCCAACATAATAAATAAGCATGTAGCTCAATAAGTATAAACTCCTGAAAGCTACACAACATTAGGTGGATCAGTTAGAAATGCAAGTCTAACTTCTCTTTGGCACTTTTTTGTTACATGCTTGAATTTACACATAAGGTCAGAAATCTGTACTGTCAAACACTACTGACAACAGGAAATAAAGCCAGCTCAACACTATGGGTAACACATTTTTAATGCAAGGGTAACATTTTGCAATATATTAAGTTTTAGAATTTATATTCAATGTTAACTGTAGCTAGGGTAAAAGTGTTCATGCTATAAACAACACTGTCATATGCAAAACTATGGTTGCACTAGGGATGGCAAGGGATTATTTTAGGATGGCACATGCCACCACAGTAGATCTGCCCCTGCCTGTGTGGTTGCTTTATACAATTTATATAATCATCATGTTAAGGCAGGTCCTGAAGACCAGAACCAGACCACCAAAGGTTCTGTTGTAACCCACTGAATGGCTCTGCAAAATGTGACAAGTGGAAAGAAGAAGGGTATAAATTTCATCGTTTTACTAACAACAGCCTTAACCTGTTAGACACAAAAATACGAAGAAAATAAACCAATAAATATTCGACATGTACATGTTTTTATTGTTAGTATTCCACTAAATAACAAGTAAATAATAAGTTCCCTTTTTTTTCTTTACAATTTTTTATGTTTTCACAGCAGGCGCACAGTAAAGTTTGACTGAAAGGTGAACGCTGACTAGGTTGCTGTCTGCTTTGAACCTCTCACGTCTCTGTAACTGTCGTCAGTAACTGAACTGAACTCTGTTGGTGCCTACATGAAAATTTTAAATGACAATATCTAGCAAATAACATGGTTTGCTACGTGGTTAGTTTTTTTTTTTCTCTTTCTTTTTTTCAATTGATCTGCGTGAACTTGACAAACAGTACAAAAGTCTGAGCTCCAGTTTTAGTGAGAAAGAACTGGTTTTAGCCAGGAAAACCCCTGCAACCTGATACAGTATGCTCCAAGAAGAAATTACGCACTTCACTTAAATGCTCAGTTTATGACCAATATACACAAAAAGTAAAGCTCTGAGCAGTTGGAGTTGTGATTAATTTAGGAAAACATTTAGCAAATAACTCAAGAGTTGTAGTCATTCCTCTGACACATTGTGACACACTTATATACAGTATGATTTAGTCCTTTAACATACAATATGTGCTTGTCACACCAAAGCACTAAAGCTCATTTACCATTTTGAGTATATCTTGTAAATTTCCCCATGCTTATCATTAATTCCCCCCCTCCAAGTGTTTCCTTATCTTTCCCTCTTCTTTATCTGTGGGGTTGATTATATTTGGTTTGTGAAATGCAAATATCTGATGTTTCAGCGTAACTGTGTGTAAAATGTACTGGACAATGCAACAAAGTGGCTTATTGTGTGCAGAGAGTTGAATATTGTGACAGTACAGGGTGGAAATGGAGAACAGTTGACTCTCTGCTGGAGAATCTACTTTTCTACTTCATGTAATGACGATGTGGAGCGTTATTATATGAAGTAGAAAAGATTCTGTAGTTGAGGGCTTCACTAAATAGAATATAGAAAGTGCTCCCCTGCCTGCCCAGTGAGTGGTACAGAAGGCAGTCAGGATTAGCTTACACATGATCAAAGGATGAAGAAATCCTCCTTCAGCTTTCACTGGCCAAAATTTTGATTCCTCTTCTGTTGCAGCTGCTGTCTGTTTGGTGTCCATGCCACCTGTCATTGATCGCTGCCTTTACACCAATTTGGAGTTTTTCACATATGCATGTACCAGTCCCTCCCTTTGTAGATGATACACTAGCAGATTTCTTAGGTGTTGGATGCTTTGTGGTAAGGGCTCTTTGTGACCTGAGCAGTTATTTTTACAACAGTTTAGTCATAGAAAAGTCTTGCTGTGATTCTTCTGGTAGTTTCTGTCAAGGTAGAGTCCTTGTAAGTATTTTAATTGCCTGAGTGCAAACCAGATCTGCAATGTCATGCCTACTGCAAATGCATCCTTCTCTTTGCACCAAAGTTATAAAAGTAAACCATAACTTAACAAAAGACTAAAACTAGGTGCAAAACTGTTTCAGCTACTTTAAAAATGTAATTTAAAGCTTACTCCGCCACTCCAATCAAAACAAAACAAAAAATATTTCTTAGAAAAACATTTTTTGCCACCCATAAATCAAAATTTCAACTCACTAACTCAAAACATCAATATCTTTAGTTTTAGATATAATAGATATGCTGGACAAAAGGTTTTAAACATGCGCTGCTGCGAGGCAGGACGAAAAGAGGAAGTACACAGAGAAGACAATTGCCTGGACAAAGTGTTTATATTTTTATATGCTTTATTCTTAATTCCATGAATATTGCTCTTAACCAGTTGGCAAGCCTGGATATAATATAATAAAATGACTGTAAAGGGACTAAGATAAACTAAAATGAACAAAAAATAAAACACTTGGACCTCACCCGAACTTCACGGACACAGGATCTGCAGTTGGAGTTCCACGTCCAGGCCAGCGGCGGCGCTGGAGTGCTAAGGGAGGCCGGTAGTGTGAGTTGGAAGTCGGTGTTAAGCTGGTTGGCTGGCACGGTCTGGTTGGTCGGTTGATGGTAGCCATGGCTCGAGTCGCTGCGCTACTGCTCTTACCGGTTCTTATTGAATCGGTATTATCAATTTCCTTCTTTTTACCGGTCAACACCAGAAAGTGTTTACGGGAGGAGATCCACAAAGACGTGCTAGTCACGGGGGAGTATGACATAAGCGAGCAGGCGAACACGAAAACTAATCTGAAGGTGAGCGCAGACCTGCTGGCTAGCTACCCTCACCATTACCAAGTTTGTTGTCGGGGCCGAAATGGCTTCAATCTGGTTTTTAATGACCCGATGCATCGCTTACAAGTGACTCTCGTGGCTATATATGTTAAATCGAGTAATTTCTGCTGCGAAAATGTCTACTGTTGTTAGCATTGTAGCTAGCCCAGGCCCAGAAAACCTCGGCTTCCTGGTTTTAGAAGCTAATTAGCCAGCTGGCTACAGTCAGTGCTCGCTAACACTCCCGTTCAGGTTAATTTGAGGGGTAATTTACTTTTTAAAAAAATTAGTTAAGATACCTTGACACTAGTGAGCACTCGCTGTAACACACAGTGCACGTATTTATATTAAAACATTGGAGAAACGACCCTGCCGGTGACTTCGTCTGGGCTCTGCTGCTGTTACACGTCAGTCTTAGGGTCCATTCAGCTGCCAAGCACAGCTTAGCCATATTAGCACATTAGCTTCCAACACGTCAGTGATGGTTTGTGTATTATTTAAATGAAGATCTTAAAAGATTTTCCTCACATCAAAGAAAATGACCGATATTTATACTGTTACAGATTGCACTGCGTCCTCACGAAGTTATTTTGTTTTTTTTACTCCCCTCATGTTCTAACAGCTGGCAGTTTAATGGCTTGCGTGGGGTGTTGCAGCCTTGCATTTTCAGACACATGTAAGGATGACAAGCAACCATCATCACAATCTCAGCCTATAACTATCTAGAAAACGACACAGTTGAAGTGTCTGAAATCCTCATGTTGGTGTCATAAAAATACCATTATTAGTGATAATACTGGTCAATGATTTAAAATTCCCACATTAAAGAGCAAAGTAATTCAGTATTGATTTAAATATTTCAGTTAATATTCTGCTGTTTCTTTGGCTCTTGACTGTTGTTTATTGCTTTTGTGTATCTTTGCAGATCACAGACTCCTCTGGCCACACTCTTTACTCCAAGGAAGATGCTTCAAAAGGAAAGTTTGCATTCACCACAGAGGACTATGACATGTTTGAGGTTTGCTTCGAGAGCAAATCACCCATGGGTAAGCATGCCAACCCCCCATGTGTGTTATGGACAGCTGCTGCTGTTCACACACACTTGGTTTTATGCCTTAGTCACTGTCAAATCTTCTGATTAACCATTTAACCCGCTGTCTTCATCCGCTATTACTTATTAGTTTTATTAGATTTTGCAGTGATTTTGGGTTATATCGATAGATGGTCATGAAACTGAAAAGTGTAATTAATGAAAATGATTAATAAAATAAATGAATGCAAGTGATATTCCAGCCACTGTTGGCCTATAAGGTGGCTGGTGACAACAACTAGTGCTAAATGTTCAACATGACATAATGTACAACTGAAAGACTACATTTATTGATTCTTTACTATATGGCAGGGCTCGCAAAATCGCTAGCCCGACGTCCCAGAGCTAGCGATATCTCTGGTCGGGCGACCAAAATCTATCTCAGCCCCGCCCGTCGGGTTATCATATAGCCCGACGGGCGGGGCTGAGATAGATTTTGCGAGCCCTGTATGGGGATTTCTACATTTCAGATAGGGGGAAGAAATAAGAAAGGCCAAAATTATCATCATCACATCAAGCCAATGTTTCAAAATCAGGGCATCGCTACAAATACATCAATTATCTATACGTTTTATGTATTGATTCCTATTTGCACTGTGACTGTTAAAGTTTTACAATGCTTGTCTTTCCTGGTGTGTAAGTTAGTGATTTTTAGTTCAAGCTTCACAAAGTGCTGTAAAAGAATACAGTGTATTCTTTTACAGCACTTTGTGAAGCTTGGTAAAAAAAAAAAAGTGCTAGAAAGGATAAATTATATAAATGATGCTCATTTTAAATGTTTCAGTGAAATTGAATATGATGATTAAAGTTTTTTGCTCTTTTAATCAGGAACTGGAAGAGTGCCTGACCAGCTGGTCAATCTGGACATGAAGCACGGTGTTGAGGCCAAAAACTACGAAGAGGTCAGAATCAGTCTGAAATGTTTGTTTGTTTTCATATAGATGATGCACATGGTGTCTTGGAGATCAGGTCAGTAGGTTTTCTTGAAGCAGCCTACAATATCTTCACTGTTACATATAGGTTTAGTCTCATGTTAATCAAATGTTACGGAAGCATAATCTGGCAGTTGTGACCTCAGTGCCTCCTTTTTTAAAACTTGTCTTTTTTCCTGGAAGTACTGCTGTAGTTGTCTTTTGTTGAAGGACAGTGTTGACCTCAGGGTGCTTTGGTAATGTGTGCGGGAGGTTCCCTGGCTTCACATCATTCAATTTTTCTTGTATAGGGACGTGTGTATCGTCACAGTACTTGGGTTCCTTTCCCGAAAATGTATTACCACTAACTGTGACTGCCTTAGGCAACACTTTAGAAATTTAGGTGTGATAAAGAGCTGTGAGCTGATGATCAGTCCTCCCTCCCCACCCACACGCAGCGCACAAACATTACATGCTGTTCTTTGCGTGTTGATGGATGTTCGCCGAGACTTCCAAGTGGGCATTCCTGTTTGTGGGTAGCTGCAATTTCAGCTCCACCCACCATGTATTCACCTACATAGATGGACATGTTACTTATTGAACAAATTTGCAAGCTGTTCAGTGGGGGGTGTAGTTAAAAACACTGGAAGAATTCCTCACTGTTGCAGAATACTTGAGAATGTGTGCTTGGTAGAGCCGGCTGTAGTGTGCTGTGTTTTTGATCATTTGGCAGCTCACGGGTTTTTTACATCCAAGGTCCTAATGGCTGAGTGGGCCTGAAAAATAAATAAATATATATTTTACTTTATTTATTTTTGTTTCACACGACTAAAGGATGCATAGAGAAATTAAGTAGAAACATTCAAACCTGTTTCGGGCAGTTTTCCAGGCCTTTCTTGGACTGACGAGAATTTGTTCTAGTGGCTTACATCAAGTCATGCACAAAAAAAACAAACCAGGAGCTACCACATAACCAAGAAACTTTCTGACGCTAGTTGAGTTGGTACACGTCGTGCATTGATATCATAAAACGCTGTGGTTGGTTGTGGTTGCGGAACAAGGCCAACCACACCCAGGCTTTTCTCAGGTGCAATTGTTCACACCAGAGTTCGAATGGCAGATTCTCATGAACCTGTGTAAACAGGAATGCTTTGGCATACACACGACACTAGACTGACACCTGCTGGACAAATTATTTAATAACCCTTCTTCTCAAGCTGTTGTACAACCTTCTCTGCCATTTCCCTCTGATCATTTTCTTTTGTCCCTCCAGATTGCCAAGGTGGAGAAATTGAAGCCTCTTGAGGTTGAGCTCAGGCGCCTGGAAGACCTCTCGGAGTCCATCGTGAACGACTTTGCTTACATGAAAAAAAGAGAAGAGGAGATGCGGGACACCAATGGTAATACAACCCAGCACATAGCTATTCAGTAGCTCTCTCACTGAATTCAGTTTAATTTTATTTATATAGTGGCAAATTGCAGCTGTCACCTCAAGGAGTGTATTTTAAGTTAAAAATCCAACAATCCCAAAAGTCACACAACTCCTTATAAACTTGGACTTGGTGACTGTGGGAAGGGAAAACTCAGATTTAGCATAAAGAAACCTCTAGCAGAAGCATTGTCGGGCTGGAGCAGCCATCTGCTGCAAATGTTCCTTTGTTATTGTTTTCTTAGGAAGTAGCTAAAGACGTCAGAGTAAAGTTGTCTGCTTGTAGTGGTTACTTCAGTGATGAACAAGGAGTATTGCATCACTGTCCTATAACACGGCTACCCTTTTTTCGGTCATCTGTCTACAGAATCCACCAACACACGCGTGCTGTACTTCAGCATATTCTCCATGTGCTGTCTGATTGGGCTGGCCACATGGCAGGTCTTCTACTTGAGGCGTTTCTTCAAGGCTAAGAAGCTGATTGAGTAGAGCGACCCGCTCCCAGCTCCTTACCTCGCGGGACGCTGCCTGACGGTCAGCCAACACATCCAAACATCCACCCTCCTTGGACTAGCTTCAGCAAACAACAGCAAGTGGGGGCTCAAAATCTAGTTTTCAAGGCTGAGAGAGAGAGTACCAAGGTTTTCTTCTGGGGAAAAATAAAAGTAAAAATAAAAAAAATATCACCTGCTTATTTAGTGGTTGGAAACATGAAAAGCGCTGTAGGGAGAAATGCACTGTAAGACATGGGAGATGTCCGTCTCTGTGGTTGACATTTCTGTCTGCACTGTTTCGAATGTTGCAGCTCACTGAATAAGAACTTCGAGCGTTCGTTGAACAGCAATGTTTGATTTTGAGCTCAGTTTGAATGGATGTGCCATGAGCGAATGTCTTTTGCCCTCCTGTTTATACACTCATTCTTTGCCATGCCAAGTAAACTAGATCCTTGGTGCCCTTTTATTGAGTGAAGGTTCTTTGAAAACACAGTTTGTTGTTACTTTGATGAGACAATTGGCAACCACTGAACTTCTGTGTTTTGTCACTTAATTTGCATACATGTCTGGTAGCTAAATTTAACTGTTTTTTTTTTTTTCATATTGTAATTACCACTTAGTTCTTTCAACTGGTAATTTTCTTTTTCTTTTTGGGGGTTGTGAGTTGTCAGTAATATTCTTAGTTGTAAATTAGGTCATTTCTATGGGCTCTTGCATAGATTTTTGTTTCGGAACATTAACATCACCTATCAAATGAAGCAAGGAACCAAAAACCTTGTTCCTAGGAAGGAATTTGTAACATCCTATGTATATGGTTATGAGTAAAAACACCCTCCTGATTTCTATTATACAGTTTATATATATCTATATATATATTTGTGAAAGCTTCTCCTGTCAGAGTGCAATGGACAGAGGTGTTGAAATGTAAAGCTGTCCAAGCATTTTCAGTCACAGGCCCTTCTTCTTGACACTGGTAGAGCTAATTATTCTTCTGAAATTTCACAAATATCAGTTCCCAACTACAGTATGTGCAGATCCATCCAACATGCTTCTTTCCAGCAGAATTGTTTTGGCTCGGGGTGGTTGCAGATTGTTTTTGATGGGGATAATTTAAAGCATCTGTCATGGGGTACATTTTTAACAGTGAACGTTGTGCGCAGTCACTGATTTTTATGTTGACTGATTAAATTTTGTAAATTTGTGTTGGGCTTTTATTCAATAAACTATTGGATGGATTTACATTATTTTTGTTTTGTCCTTTGAATTGCCTATTTAGGCATTTTTGAAAAGTAGGAGACGCATGTAGAGTGCATGTGCTCTCATTGGCTGATTTGTTATGTACCCCTGCCCAACTGCCAAGTAGTGCATGCATCTAATCAATCACATGGCAGCAGCTCAGTGCATTTAGACATGTAGACATGGTCAAGACAACCTGCTCAAGGTCAAGCTGAGCATCAGAATGGCGAAGAAAGGTGATTTGCGTGGCTTTGAATGTGGCCTGTTTGCTGGTGCCAGATGGGCTCGTCTGAGTATATCAGAAACTGCTTGTCCACTTGAATTTTCTCCACACAACCATCTCTGGGGTTTCCAGAGTATGGGTTAAAAAAAAAAGGAAAATATCCAGTGAGCAGCAGTTCTCGCAAGTTGGGTGAAACTCCATCATTGATGCAAGAGGTCAGAGAATGACCAGATTGTTTTAATCATTTTTAGTCATGTTTTTATTGTGTTTTTACCGTTTTAAATACATCGGAAACCTCCATTTATTTATTTTTGCCTTTCCACGTTTCCAACATGTTACATATGCATGTTCTGTATTGTTTAGCTGTAAAGAAGGCTAAAGAGCAATTTCTGCTCGTATTTCACATGTACTAATGCTTTATAGCGGTTTTAAAAACAAAGCCTGTTTGACTACAATGGCAACTGTCACTTCAGTTAGACTGTCATTCTTCTGTTACTGTTGGTTGATTGAAAGCAAATAATAGCTCAAAAACACTTGTCACACCCAAGGTATTCAGAACAGCGTCTATGAATGGACAACATACAGAAGTTTGGGAAGATGGGCTGCAGCAGGAGAAGACCACACCAGGTGTATTTCCTGTCTGCTAACAACAGGAAACTGAGGCTAAAGTTCACGCCGGCTCACCAGAATTGGACAAAAGAAGATTTGGACTAAGGAACATGAAAACTTGGATTCCGGATGCCTCGTATCACTGGTTCAGGATGGTAGTGATGATGTAATGAAGTTGGGGATGTTTCTTTGGCAGCATCTTGTTGAATCTTTGCCACAAAGAATTAAAGCAGTTCTGAAGGCAAAAGGGTGTGCTAGTGAAGTGTGTTTATGTTTGTTTATGACTGTTATTGAATCTGCTGAGTGCTACAGTTTCTAACATGAAGCCATCATGTTAAAGTGACTTGATGCTTTCCAGTAGCCTAATATTTAGATGTGGAAGTCACCTTTTAAATGTATTTTTTGCCAGATCAAAGTGGAAAAAAATCAATGAAATAATTTTAGTAACAAACAATCTAGAAATAGACTAAAATCTAGTGGAAAAACAGTGTTGCTAACAAATTAAAACCAAGCAGAAAAACAGGTGTCCTCTGTGTCACAGCCTGATGACATTCAAATTTCCTGTCACACTAATGATTTTAAACCAGAAATCCAAACATCCCATCACCATAACAGCAGTTATCTAGGTTGGCTAGAGAACCTGCCTCACTAACCTATTAATCTTACTTTTTAGAACAACTCTTTCTGTTGATCACAGTAACGACCAATAAATTTTCTTTTTGCATGCCTTAAAGCACGTGAATAATGATCACTAATGACCAATTAAATGGTAAATGGCCTGCATTTGTATAGCGCTTTTCTAGTCACTAAGGACCCCCAAAGCGCTTCACACTACATTCAGTCATTCACCCATTCACACACACATTCACACACTGGCGATGGCAAGCTACATTGTAGCCACAGCTGCCCTGGGGCGCACTGACAGAGGCGAGTGATCAAACTGTCCAGAAGATGATAACCATCTAAACACAGCTAGGATGCATGCAACACAGCGTATCTGAAGAGATGATGGAGCCATTAACCTCATGTGGAAGATGCTTCGATCCAAACAATTTCCAATAGATTGAACCTCTGCAGTGAGAAGAGGCAGATGCCATCAAAAGATGAAAAGTGAGCAACTGTGTTCTTATCTTTGTGTTTTGTGAGGCAATACTTTATAATGTCTTATATGCATCCAAATAAAATACTTGTGTCTGAAAGAGGAAGGCTGACAGTCACGACTGTTACTGGAGGATAATACAGAGACGCCAGGGTGTACTTTAGTTAGAGATTCCACTTATAGTTGCTATCAATTATTCAGACTCCCAGATCAGTGCCACAGGATACCTGCACCATAATCACAATCCACCAGGCTCAATACAAAATCATATGATTGTGACAGACAATAACCTCAACATTAATTTCAAGGTGATGGAATATCATGGGACTGCGCTCTATTATTGCTTTGTTATAAGATAGAACTTTATTAATCCCTCGGGTGGGTTCCTCTGGGAAATTCGATTTCCAAAAAAAGCACAGCAACGACCGAAGTTACAGTTACAGAATTGTTATATATATATATATATATATATATATATATATATATATATATACACACACACACATATATAAATACAGAAACAAATATAAATAAAATATGCAAAGGGGATAAATAGAATAAATAGGAATAAAAAATAAAAATACAAGTGAATTGCACATTTCAAGTATTGAGTCTATTGCACTGTTGACTATTTACAAAAAGTATTGCACAAGGTATTGTACAGTGAGGTGAAGAGGCACTACAGCTTAGTTGTTCCCCCCTCCTTTGTCCTCCTGTTTCCCCTCCCTCTCCCCTCCAGAGAGGAGTTAAACAGTTTGATGGCGTGTGGGACAAAGGAGTTTTTAAGTCTGTTAATAATCCCCCTGCATAAAGCAACAGTCCCGACATATTCTCAGAAACTTATAGTTAGTAGAAATCCAAGAAAAGTCAGCAGTATTTCAATGGCTTACAGTTTTTTCTGATTGCTTAAGCACATTTTTTGTAACTATTGGCTAATTTTGCAAAACTCTTCACACAAATAAGAAAACCTGTCACCCAATAATCAAAACATTGTAGTTCTCTTGCAAAAGCAAACACAGCTAGATTAACTCTTCACACCTTCGTAAAAATGGTGTTTCCATATCAAACAGTACACACAAGCCATCATCTACTAAGCACACAATGCGCCAACTGCACACTGATGGTATGAATACAAAACACATCTGGCTTTTGCTTTCTCTGTGCACAAGGTAGGCTATGTCAGTTTGAGCTCATACTTCTGTCATAGATCCATAAGCATAGAGGGATCCAAACTTCAAGTACTGGTGTTTATTCAAACACATCAAAACAAACACAAGTGTTCATTTCCAAGTATAGGATTATTTGCAATCGCCATAATGACTATATGGGTTACTTGGTCTGCAGTGAACATGCTTCCTCTGCCCCCAGCATCTGGTCATCTAGCAATTCTGTAAAGTAACAATTTCAGTATTTTTACATCAATGGTATTGGTGTGTTTCTCATTGGCATATGGCAGTGCTACAAATCTTTGTGCGAAGTGACTGTACTAACCGATTCTCATTTCAAGATGTCCTTATGGTACTTGCTACAGTGTAGCGGCTCGAGATAGGGTGGACCTGTTGGCCAGCTACCCTCAGGGTCATTCCACGGTTGATTACATGGTCCACTATTGTAGCTCTGATGTCATCAGCAATTCTATTTCTTACTCTTCCTACCCTTCCTCTCCCCCCTCCTCATCTTCCTCTCCTCCCTCCTCATCTTCCTCTTGCTCCTCCTTGTCCTTGTCGTCCTCTTCATCCTACTTCTTCACCTCCACGTCCTCTTCCTCGGCCTCCTCTACTTCTCACTCTTTCTGCTCCCTCCATTGTACTCCGCACACACAGCTTACCTGTATTATAGTGCTTAGGCTGATTGCAAAGTGAACTAATTATCTAAAAAAGTTTTCACATGTGAAAGTGTGCCAGACAGTTGGCAAATTAGTGTTAATGATAGCCATACATGTGTATACTTTTGCTAGGAGTGTGTTGGAAATTTGGTAATTGAGTGTTGTGCAGTGAATTGTGCCTACAGTTTTGCAAAGTGTGTGTTACAAAATTGCAAACTGAGTGCAAAGCAGTTTTTGTGCTTTTAGTTTTGCAAACTCAGTGAGTGGTTTTGCTATAAGTCTGAATAGTTTTGGAGATTGTGCTACAGGAATCACAGTTAGGGTTTAAGCATTCAGAAAAAACTGTAATATCAAGGCCAAACTTCCACTCAGCCTCAGACTCAAGTAACCAAGGGCTGCTTGAGAATATAACCCCCTATTAAACAGCTGACAAGGATACAAAAAGTTGTTTTTTTTTTAAAGGGAGATTATTTCTTTTGGCTTCAAGCATCATACTGAAACACATGTAAAATCCTACTCTTTAGGACTGTGTTTTCCAACCACTGTGACCGAGAAATGATCAGGAGTACCGTGGAAGATTATCTGGTTCCACCAGATTAGTGCACTAAGCGATCGACGTGAGTAACTAGCAGAACAATTACATTCTCTTCCACTAGAGGGCGGTACAACTATCTGCTCTAATTTAATGGGTTGCCAACTGCCAGTAAAATAGAATATGACGTAGAGGAAATTACATTGTCAGTGAGACAACGCAGCGCGTAATAGCAATAGATAAATATTTGAAAAGAAAAAGTGGTAAATCTGACCTGGGTCCTGGAGAAAATTGCGACCCAGACGAAGGCCGTAGCATGAGTAGTGATCAGAAAAAGCAAAAAAGGTATACTGGGGACAAACCGAGCCAGTTCCTCTATGCCTGGTGCGCGGGGGGAAATGATCAATATGCCTTTTGTGACATTTTTGTTTGGTGGTGTGCCGCGTGATTTTTCTAATGTTAAATATGTGCCATGGCTCCAAAAGGTTGGGAAACACTTCTTTAGGAAATATATGTTTTCAACAGTGCAGCGTGATCACTTTCAATGAGTCTGACAATGACAGGAAGAAGAAAAGCCTCTTGTGATGTGTTTGTGTCTTTGTGTTTGTGTCTTATTTATATTTTATTTAATTGTATATAATTTATTAAAATTATTTTGTTGCATTTTTTACAGTATGTATAAATTAACCAGGAGTGGACTAGATCTAATAAACTGTCAACTTTGTGTAAATATACATATGTTTTCTATAAAATTTGAAACCAAACGAGCAGCCAGCCCGTTCACTAATTTCTCAATTTAAATGTTTTAACGATACATAGACGATAAATATCTACTATTTTTTATTGCTATGATAGTAACTATTAATATTACTATAATTAATCTTTCTTGCGCTGTTTTCCATTTCTCTTAAAAATACACTTCTTTCAGCCTCTCTTGGTTTTCATCCAGCATCTACGGCCCAAAATGGCCATAAAAAGGAATATTTGTCAACAAAGAATTAAATTAAATGGAAATAGCACAAAGCATTGACCAGAAAGGTGTATGCTTTAGCTGAAGCTTGTTTTATCTCCAATGTATACAGAGCAT